ACTTCCCTTTTAAAGGACTTACCAGAATTGGGGGAGAACTCAAATAATCTTTAAGGGCTCTGAATGCTTCTTCACATCGGCTGTCTTATTGGATCGCCTTTTTTAAGATTTGGAAGAAAGGTCCACATTTTGTCGCCTGACCTGGACACCAAGCGACTCAAAGCTGCTATTCTTCCTATTAGGCATTGGACCTCTCTGGTGTTGGAGGGTGGCTGCATGTCCATCACTAGATTAAATTTTTTTGGGTTATCCTCGATCCTTCTGCTATTGACTATGAAACCCAAGAATTTCCCTACAGAGACCCCAAAGGCACATTTGGCAGGGTTGATCTTCATCTGGTATTCCTTGAGGACCTAGAAAGATTCTTCAAGGTGCCTAATATATAGCTTAACTTTTAGTAATTTGACCAGCATGTCATCGATGTATACCTCCATTGATGTTCCTATTTATTTTTTGAATATTTGATTTACCAAACTCTGGTAGGTAGCTCCAGCATTCTTTAGTCCAAAGGGCATGACTTGGTAGTAGTATGTCCCCTGCTCAGTTATGAAGGAGGTCTTTTCTTGGTCACTAGAGTCCATTTTGATTTGATTGTATCCAAAAAAAGCGTCCATAAAGCTAAGGAGATCGTGCCCAGCTATGTCATCTACAATCAAGTCAATCCGTCATAAAGGGAAGCTGTCTTTAGGGTAGGCTCAATTTATGTCGGTGAAGTCGATGCAGAGGCACTTGTCATTGGCCTTCTTGACAAGGACCATGTTTGCTAGCCAGGTGGGACAATCTACTTATTTAATGGCTTTAGCATGAAGAAGTTTATTAAACTCTTCATTGATTACTTTCTGGTGTTCTGGGGCGAAACTCCTTCGCTTCTATTTGATAGACTTGAAGGTTAGATTTATGCTAAGCTTGTGTGTGATGATCGAGGGGTCAATTCCTTTCATATCTCCTTATTTCTAGGCAAATACCTTCATATTTCTTCTAAGGAATTGTATCAGGAGGTCTTTAAATTCAATTTTTTAGCTTAGACCCCACGTATACCAGGTGCTTTGGCTTTTCGTCAAGCTGGATAGGCTCCAACTCTTCTGATGGCATTGACCTAGTTTCCAGCACATCTCTCAGGTCGAGCTCATCTAGTTGAATATTTTTGACCTCTTTCTTTCTCATGGACGCCATGTGGCGCTTTCATGCTACATGTTAGTCTCCTCGGACCACTCTAATTCTGCTTTTCGTAGGGAACTTCATGAAAGGGTGGTAGGCAGAAGGAATGACCCTCATGGTGTTGAGGGAGGTCTTTCAAGTAGGATGTTGAATGCTGAGGGCACATCAACCTAGGAACCTCACTGTTGTGGTGGTCTGGCAAGGGGGATCTCCCATAGTGAGCACGAGTTGGATTGACCCCAGGGGTAGCACCCTTTTCCTTGAGAACCCTAATAGGTTAGCACTTAATGGCTCGAGTTTATCTCTACCTNCAGTTGTGGTGGTCTGGCAAGGGGGATCTCCCATAGTGAGCACGAGTTGGATTGACCCCAGGGGTAGCACCATTTTCCTTGAGAACCCTAATAGGTTAGCACTTAATGGCTCGAGTTTATCTCTACCTATATCCATCTTGTCGAAGGTAGATGCAAAGATGATGTCAGTAGAACTCTCGTTGTCAATCAAAACTCGATGGACGGTTCTGTTGGCGACGATGACTCTTACCACCAAGGGGTCATCATGGAAATGCTGGTAGCCTTCCAAGTCTAAGTCTGAGAGAGTGATGTCCATGTTCAGTCAAGGTGATTTGGACACAGTATGTACTTTCAGTGTCTCGCAATTCTGATTTTGTGCAAATGGGCCTTCCTACCTGAGCTGGACTCCCTATCTCTAGCANCATGTTCAGTCAAGGTGATTTGGACACAGTATGTACTTTCAGTGTCTCGCAGTTCTGATTTTGTGCAAATGGGCCTTCCTACCTGAGCTGGACTCCCTATCTCTAGCAAATCCTCCGGATATCAATTTGACCTCCCCTAGAGGTTGTTGATGTTGTGTAGGGACTTGTTGCTGAGTCACTAGAGGTGGATGAGCTCGATTCTGATTATCCAGTGGCATAAAGCGTCGTAGCTATCCTCGCTGAATCAGGAACTCGATTTCTTTTTTCTACTGGATACAATCATCAATGAGGTGGCTATAGTCTCTATGGTACTCACAATACTTTTTCAGATCTCTTTTTGCTGAGTCTATTTTTATTCAAGGTGGTCACCTCAAGAATTTCTCATTTTGTACTTGATAAAGGATCTGAAATATTGTAGTCATGAGTGGAGTGAGTTCCCGAGGTGCATACCTCATATCCAATTTTGGTTGCAGAGGACCTAGGCAATCCCTGACATCTCCCCTTCTTGTGGGGGAGTGATCTCTGTCTTTTCTTAGAGACTTGTCTCTGCCTTTTTCTTTTCTAGGACTTCGGTCCCTCTTATTTTTTTCCTCCCCTTTTTCCTTCTACATGGTTGAGCTCCCCACCTTAGAAAGGAGAGCTTCCTCGCCATTAATGTACTTTTCTGCCTTGGAAAACACCTATGTCATACTGGTTTGTGGGTTTTTTGATATGGTGGACATTAAGTCCTTCGACTGTACTCCTAACCCAGCTATGAAAGTAGTGATGGCGAATTTTTCATCTGGAAAGTCTACCTTTAATGATTATGAATTGAACCTTTGGACATAAGATCGTAAGTTCTTGTTGGGGTCCCTGTTTAACATTTAGTAGGTCCAAGCTCCTATGAAGTGTGATACAAAGGATATGGAGAGCTCTTTGAAGGAGGAGATGGACGCCAGGGTTAGCCCATAAAACCATGCTAAGGCTGATCGATTCAACGTGATGGCGAAGGCCTGACATCGTACAAGGTCTTGATGTTCGTGCGGCTCCATTTGGTTCTTGTAGGTGTTGAGGTGATCTATGAGATCTTTTGTCCCATCAAAGGCATCCATTTGGGGCATTTTGAATTTTGAAGGAAGAATGAAATGCAGTACATCAGTAGTGAATAGGGACTCAGTCTGTTGCACCGGGACGTCCATTGTCACTAGGGTCTTAACCCTTACAACTTCTTTCATGTGACTGAGCTCTTATTAGATGTCTCTAAAACACTTCTCTCAATATTGCTCCCTTATTTCTTGCTAGAAAGGGAGGAATTCATTTTTCTCAATCCTTTCATTTTGACTCTGTACCTCCCCGTTAGCTTCATTCATGGGAGGTGGATGAGGAGCATGGACCATGGTTTGGCTATGTACCCCCCTTCATTAACCTCCCTTAGGGGATCAAGACGTTGATGCTCCCCTTGTGGGGGATCATCCTAGGATGGTTGTATTCTTTGAGGATGTTGTAAGAGTTTCAAGAGTTCTTCGTTCTGTTGCAACAGATGTTGATTAACAAGATGAAGTGCCTCAACTTCGTTATTCGGAAGGAGGTCCACCACAGAAGGATTGTTCTCAGTGGTAGGTAGAAAGTCTTGAGGATTTTCTTGTTTTCTTCCAATGGTGGCTTCCTACTGGTTCTACATCCGTAGAAGGTTCAACTAGCTTCTGCAAATATTGCATGTAGAGACCATCAATTACTGAAGAAAATCAATGTATTTGTAAGAAGAACAGTCGTTCCCACAGACAGCGTTAAACTGATGGTGTGTAAAATGTGGATGAGTAGATTATGCGTGTTATTGGGGTTTAATTTAAGTTACAAGGCTCTTGGGATTAGTGTGGCTGTTTTTCTGGTGAAAGGAGATGGATCACATAAAATAATTATAATGGTTCACCAGCTCGAAAACTCGGCTAGTCCACTCCCTCAAGGAGTCTCTTGCTCCTTGTTTTTTATTGAAGAATAGATTACAGAGTCTTCTCAGCTTAGAATGGATTGCATGCCTCATAGTGAGGGCTTTGTACAATAGTTATAGCCCAGTTCCTAATTTCATGGGGTCTGGGGTGAGATCTTCGGCTCCCCTATGTAACGCCTTACTTGATTCCAAGCAGTGGTTTAGGCGGTTGAGGATCTTGTGACTAGAATGGTGCTTACTGCCATTAAGGGGGCACATTGTGATTGCCAGCTGTCTTCCATTTGTCTTCATCGGGGTGTAGGTCGAGGGAGCCCCAGGTTCGGACCTTTGAGCTCAGGCTCTATTGGCTGAGCTCCCTTCCCGACCTCAACTCCCGAGCTTAATCTTGGAAATTCTTCTAGGTATCATCATCAACCATGGCTTGAGCTCGTTGCTTGAACAAAGGAGTTAGAGAGGGAGCCATGTATGCTAGAAAAAAAACAGAAGACGAAGGAAGTTTCAGGAGAACTAGGAACGTAAAGAAGAAACCCAAGTTTTGTGGAGGCGATAAGAAATCCAAATTTTTATGGAAACAATAGGGAATCTCGAGTTTTAAGGGAGCAAGAAACACGTGAAGGAGAAGACGCGGCCCTTTACACTTCCATAATCATGAGGGTGGTGTTTTAAGAAGGTACGTGGGCGTGAATAACGATTTGTTTGCCTTTTTCCATGCTAAATGAAAAAGAAGGTCTTCAGCTCAATGAAAAAGGAGCTCTTCAACTCATAAGGATGAACTCTTTAGGTTAAGCTCTCTAGCTCAATGAGAGATGAGCTCTTCAACCCAGGAACATAAGCTATTTAGCTCACAAATTGAAGACAAACTCATTAGCTCATAAAAAGTAGCCCTCAAGTTCATAATTAGAAGATGGGATCTTAGGTTCAAGAGCATTTTAGCTCATAAAAGCTCTTCATCTCACAAGATCCCTTCAGATCGTAGAAACAAGACCATCACCTCAGCTCAAACCAAGATTGGGCTCTCGACCTGGGGAATCTGATCTCATACTTGCAAAATTCACTTAAAGAAGAACTAAGTTCTCCTCAAAGAAAGAGGATAGAGGGGAGTGAGCAGAATGGAAGAACACAACAGTCAGAAATACAACAATTGAAAAGCAAAAATACAAGAGTATTGGAAAAAAACATTTTTCATTTCTCAAAAAGAGTTGGTTACAAAGTCTTTTTATAAAAAGTCTTCTTTTGTAGTCGGATTAGTGATGGGTCAGGCAGCTTAGGAAGATCAGAAACAGTAGTTGGAGTAAGATCAAAAGGAGCCTCAGAAGTAGCTAGAGTAGAATCAGAAGAGCCACAGAAGAAGGAACCTTAGTAGGGGGAACAGACACCTTAGCACCTACAGAAGCGAGCTCAGACATTTGAACTTCAGGCTCTACAGACCCATCCGCCTTTGAAACAATTGGAACTGAGACCCCAGCCTCCATCTTAGCACTGGGTGCCTCCTTCTCCTTGTCTAATAGGAGGTCAAATTTGAAGCCCAAATTCGGATACATCTCCACAGCTTGATCCTGGAAAGTAAGGTACTCGGTGGCCCAGTCAGTAGTAGCCTCGTTCTTCAGCTCAGCAATCAAAGCATCTTTCTTCTTAGTGACAACCCTCTCAACCTCAATTTCCTTTAGTAGAATGGCATTCACCTTAGCCAAGATTTCATACTCCTTCTTCTTGGTCTCGAAGGACTCAAGAGCCTCGAAGGATTCTTTGCGAGCTTGGAACAAATTGTCTGCCTTTAGCCTGAGCTCATCTTCGGCCTTTCTAGCCTCATCCCTGGCTTTTCCTATTTCAACCTCCATACCTTTGTTGGCAGAGGACAACCCCTCCACCAGAGCCTGCAGGTCCTACACTTGAGCCTTGAGGCCGTCATTGGAGAAAGCTAACTCGAAAACCTTAAGCTTAGAAGCCTTTAACACCTTGGTTGAGCTCTCAAAAGTCCTGATCCATCTCACTAGAACACTCGTATGAATGACCAACTAAAGAAAAATACGGCCAAGGGTCAAAATTAGTACGAGGTAACAACGCAAAACAGAAGTGAGACTTGGTAGAATCAAAACTTACTGAAGTGGCACCATACAAGGCGGTAGTGGCAGAAGTAGAAAGGGTCATAACAGTAACCTCCTGAGTGCCTGACTTAGGGATGATTGAGGCGATGGCCTCTGTAGTAAGCTTCACATCCTTGACAAGTGAACTCTAGTTATTCTCAACCTTCAAGCCCTCAACCAGTAGGTTTTAATCCTTCTCAGCAGGTCTGGAAGAGGGAGGCCTTCATAGGATATGAGCAATTGACTCCAAAGACCTCTCTACCTCTGTTGATGAAGGGGATGCTAAAGCCCCAGCTTGCTCAAGGGCCTTTTCGGAGGAGAAATTCTAGGTCCCCTGAGGAATTGAGATCCGTACGACCTTCGATAAGCTAGGTGGAGGCATAGAAACCACTTGGGAAAAGGGGGAAGAAGCGGTAGACACCTTTGTCCTTGGCACCTTTGAGAGAGGGGCAGGGTTGCTTCCCAATCCGACCTCAGCCTTGCGTTTTCCTCCACTCCTACCTTTCATCAGTAAGGCTGTCTTCGCCTTCACAACATCAGCATTTGGGACCATTGAGCTGGAACCTAGAAAACTAGAATATACAAGCCAATAAGAGAGCAAAAAGAAAAGTGAGGAAAGCTAGAAATAAAAGGAAGAGTTCTACCTACAAGTCCTTCTGTGCCAAATACGAAAATAAGAATAGGGGTCTCAACCCTCACCTTGGAGGGACTAAACCTGAATTTATTAAGTACATTAGCCTTGATAAGCTTGGAATATTTCTTTGGCTCGCTATTCTGTAAGCCCAGCAAAACTATCTTATTCTCAACACTAAGGTCGGGATGAATACCTGAAAAGAAATAGTAGAACAAAGTCAGTAGGATAAATCGCTGAGGCTGAACCAAGCCTACTTTGGCAAGGCTTACCTAGATTATTAGGGGCAAACCAAGCCCAAGGCATAGGGAGGGTATCAACTGCATCTTTAGGATTATATTCCCAGTCATTCCCAAACAAGAAGAAGAAAAGCTTATTCCAACCCTTGTGGGAGCTCAGTAGGTCAGTAATGAAAACTTGGATCTTCTGATTTGAAAATATACAAGAAACCATCAAAGGGGTGAACTTTACGTTGAAATATTTTATGAGCAGTGGCATAGTGGGAACTCCAAGATCGTGCTTCTTAAAGAAAACAAGAAGACCCACCAAAACACCCCCAGAAGTTGGGGAAAAGTTTAGCAGGACAAAAGTTGAAATGTTGAAGGACACTCTTAAGGAAGGGATGCATTGGGAAACAAAGGTCGTTCTTCAAAATGGCCACGAAGAAGCAAACCTTCTTAAGGACCTAGGTGTCGTACCTAATGTCCACATGACAGCACCAATAGTGCATACCTCGGGGAAAGCCAAAACGAGCTGAAAGAACGCTCATAAAAGAAGGGGTAACCTCACTGAAACCAACGAGGTCTGAAGCTCTGGGGGCGACCTCTGCTTCCCCAGCTCTGTCAGAAGCCCCAACATCACTCACCTTGGNCCTGTAATTTAAGTCGTTAATTATGATCTTATATAATTAATGATCATTTTTAGAAATTTCAAATATATATATATATGTGTGTGTGTGTGTGTGTGTGTGTGTGTGTGTGTTAGCGGACAAGTTTCCTATTAAATGGGTTGCAAATTTAAAACGTGCAAGACGAAAAAAATATGGACAAAATATGGACAACTGTTGACGCAAACTCCCTCATGTGGCCATGTGATGTTGGGGTGGGTTTTTGGCTATAAATAGTCAAGTGCAGGCCATTCGAACAAGGCAACAAGAGAAAAAAAAAAAAAGAAGAAAGAGAGAGAGAGGAAGAGGAAGAGAGAGAAAAACTTATGAGATTTTGGAATCAAAAATTAAATAGTGAATTTTACTTTCGATGATTACCAAATTGAAGTGTCTTATTCGGGGTACTTCGAATTTCTTATTTATTGAAGTTATTAATGATTTTGAGTTACGGAGTAGTATACAATATGCTCATATTGTTTAAATCTCTTTGCAAAGTATGTCATTTGATTAACTGAAATTTGTATTCCTACTAATTATTCTGATTGATTCGAAATTCTGATATTTTTATTCGTCGACTTGTATTTTGGGCTAAATGCTTTGAGATTGATTAGTACATGTACGAAATATACTTGGGGCATAATTAGTGAAATGTGATTATGGCCCCTGAAGGGTGCGATTGTGATTACAGCCCTGCGGGGTGTGATTAGTTATTATGAGTATGAATTTATATGCTCAAGTATCACTTGTCATGTCACCAAAAGTAACCGAGTACGAGACTATGTTTAATAGCAGTTGAGCTATGTGGCCTATCGAATGTGATTCTTGATTTCGTTATTCATGATCCTTCTCATCTGAATTAATTGGTAATTTAATCAAGTAACGCGTCTCGAAAGCGGGACGTTACATATACTGTTGATGGACTCATCATTTATAGACTTAAACTTTTAGATAGATATGAGTTTCAGACATGTTTATTAGACCTTGAATCACTGGGTTCCAAGTCTCCCAACAAATATCTCTTTACTTTGTTTAATTTCAGAGCAACAAAAAACTATAGGTTTGACAAAAAACTATAGGTTTGAAATTCCTGTAGTCAATTATTTTAAGATGTTGAGATATTCCTTCCAACTACATGTTATTATGTTATATGCTCCCATACTCGACAGAAAGTGTCACTTCAGTGTGTCCAATGCATTTTTCTCATATTTATAAGGGTGGCTGCTAAAGTGGTCCACTCTTGTTTGTCTGTCGTTAACGTCAAGGCTTTCGCACACTTGGAAAGATGGGTGCTAGTTTGTTTGGGGGTAAGAGTGGTATAAAGAAGTGAAATTAGAAAAATAATACGTAAGACCTTCCTTATATCTTGTTTGTTTAATATTTTATAGTTAATATTATTTTATGGATCGTAATATCCATCCGATTTGAACAGTGTCTTTAATGCCTTCTACATGATATTAATGAATATCATCTATCAGGTGATATTATCTTCTCGGNCATGTAATTTAAGTCGTTAATTATGATCTTATATAATTAATGATCATTTTTAGAAATTTCACACACACATATATATATATATGTGTGTGTGTGTGTGTGTGTGTGTTTTAGCGGACAAGTGTCCTATTAAATGGGTTGCAAATTTAAAACGTGCAAGACGAAAAAAAATATGGACAAAATATGGACAACTGTCTATAATGACGCAAACTCCCTCATGTGGCCATGTGACGTTGGGGTGGGATTTTGGCTATAAATAGTCAAGTGCAGGCCATTCGAACAAGGCAACAAGAGAAAAAAAAAAGAAGAAGAAGAAAGAGAGAGAGGAAGAGAAAGAGAGAGAAAAACTTATGAGATTTTGGAATCAAAAATTAAATAGTGAATTTTACTTTTGATGATTACCAAATTGAAGTGTCTTATTCGGGGTACTTCGAATTTCTTATTTATTGAAGTTATTAATGATTTTGAGTTACGGAGTAGTATACAATATGCTCAGATTATTTAAATCTCTTTGCAAAGTATGTCATTTGATTATCTGAAATTTGTATTCCTACTGATTATTCTAATTGATTCGAAATTTTGATATTTTTATTCGTCGACTTGTATTTTGGGCTAAATACTTTGAGATTGATTAGTACATGTACGAAATATACTTGGGGCATAATTAGTGAAATGTGATTATGGCCCCTGAAGGGTGCGATTGTGATTACAGTCCTGCAGGGTGTGATTAGTTATTATGAGTATGAATTTATATGCTCAAGTATCACTTGTCATGTCACCAAAAGTAACCGAGTACGAGACTATGTTTAATAGCAGTTGAGCTATGTGGCCTATCGAATGTGATTCTTGATTTCGTTATTCATGATCCTTCTCATCTGAATTAATTGGTAATTTAATCAAGTAACGCGTCTCGAAAGCGGGACGTTACATATACTGTTGATNTCCATGATCTTTCTCATCTGAATTAATTGGTATTTAGTCATTCATATTTTTCTCGTTTCTTGTCATATTGTATATTTTCCCGTTTTTAACATTTTTTTAGGATAATCTTGAAGGGAATGACCAAAGTTGATATTTGAGAAATCAAAGATGAACGAATCTTGATAAAATTTTTATTTTTTATTGGTATTTGGAGATCAAAATTATAAGTATAAATTTTTTGAAACAATTAGAGCTATGTCCCTATATTCAAAGATATTTGTAGTTTATTGTGATTGATTAATTTAATCAAGTAACGCGTCTCGAAAACGGGACGTTACATATACTGTTGATGGACTCATCATTTATAGACTTAAACTTTTAGATAGATATGAGTTTCAGACATGTTTATTAGACCTTGAATCACTGGGTTCCAAGTCTCCCAACAAATATCTCTTTACT